CAGGCTGAACAACCCCAGCTCCCTCAGCCTGTCCTCGTAGCAGAGGTGCTCCATCCCCCTGATCATCCTTGTGGCCCTCCTCTGGACCCTCTCCATCAGGTCCATGTCCTTCTTCTATTGAGGGCTCCAGACCTGCACACAGCACTCCAGGTGAGGTCTCACCAGAGCAGAGTAAAGTGGCAGAATCCCCTCTCTGGACCTGCTGGCAACGTTTCTTTTGATGCAGCCCAGGATGCGATTGGCCTTCTGGGCTGCAGCTGCCCACTGCCTGCTCATGTCCAGCTTCTCGTCCACCAGCACCCCCAAGTCCCTTTCCTCAGGGCTGCTTTCCAATCTACCGGGTGAAGCAATCAAAGGTGATGGAGAGCAGCAAGCCAGGTACCTGCTGGCGGGGGGAGAAGCGGCATCTGAAAGACTTACCACAATTCAGGCAGCCTCTAGCAGCCACCGTGCACTTCAGAGAGCAGGCTGTGCCGTGGGTCTCTGCCACCCACAGTCCCCACCGTTCCCCGGCAGAGCTGCCTCTCCCTGCCCCACGCGCTGCCAGATGCCACCAGCCAGGGCTTCCACGCTGCTTAAGAAACAACCTTAAGCCCCGGCCCAACCTTCTCAGTGCCCAGAGCCAGAAAAAGACTTCAGTAGCTGCAGTAGACAGAACATCAGGACCTTAACCCACTCTTATCCTGAAAGGTTATAGACACCTGTGCATATAACAAGAGTTAGTGTCGGGTGCTGCACCTGGGGAGGAATAACCCCCTGCACCAGGACAGGGTGGGGGTGACCTGCTGGTGAGCAGCTCTGAGGAGAAAGACCTGGGAGTCCTGGGGGACAGGATGACCATGAGCCAGCAATGGGCCCTTGTGGCCAAGAAGGGCAATGGCATCTTGGGGGGCATCAGGAAGAGTGTGAGCAGCAAGTGGAGGGAGGTCATCCTGCCCCTCTGCTCTGCCCTGGGGAGGCCCCATCTGGAGCACTGGGTCCAGTTCTGGGCTCCCCAGTTCCAGAAGGACAGGGAACTGCTGGAGAGGGTACAGCAGAGGGCTACAGAGATGATGAGGGGCCTGGAGCATCTTTCTTACAAGGAGAGACTGAGGGACTTGGGTCTTTTCAATCTGGAGAAGAGAAGGCTGAGGGGGGATCTGATCAATGCTTATAAATACTGAAAGGGAGGGTGTCAAGAGGATGGGGCCGGTCTTTTTTCAGTGGTGCCCAGGGACAAGACAAGAGGAAATGGGCACAAACCTGAATATAAGAAGTCCCACCTAAACATGAGAAGGAACTTCTTTGCTGTGAGGGTGGCAGAGCCCTGGAAGAGGCTGCCCAGGGAGGTGGTGGAGTCTCCTTCTCTGGAGACATTCAAACCCACCTGGACACGTTACTGTGGGACCTGCTCTGCTTTGGCAGGGGGTTGGACTGGATAATCTCCAGAGGTCCCTTCCAACCCCATGTCATTCTGTGAAGTGTTTAAAATTAGCTATTGCACACACCCAGAGTTGTCACAATCACAGAAAGCATCTTCTGTGCAAGCTGATTTGTGCTTTTTTTATCATTCTGGCTGTTGACAGGTAGTAGAAAACCTGGTGTCTATAACCTCCACAGCACGAAAAGAGGCAGGGTTCACCCTTTGGCTTTCTGACGAGGCTACCCTCTCACTGGGTTGCAGATCAGGTTGAATCTGCTCGGCAGCAAGTGACAGCTGAGGCTTGAGTCCAGGCACACTCCTCAGGGCCACTTCTGGCCCTTTTGCATGGAAAAGTTGCCAGATCAAACACAGGACCAGCTGCAAGACTTTTCTCTCAGGTGAGCACCTAAAACACCAAGCAGGACAGGCTTTTTTTTCATCCCTATCAGATGGGAATAACAACAAGTGACCTATATAGAAGCCAGTAAGCTTTTTCTTCCAGAGTTCCCAAGCACTTGTGAGAACGTCTGTACAACATGAAGCTACTGCATCACCCTGAACACAACTCATCCTCACACAACAGCTCCAGTTTGCATTTACTCATGCCACAAAAATTGCACCTGAGTGAAAACTTACAGGAGCAGCGACACAGGACACAGCAGCTACTTCTGTGAGGACAGGCTTTTTTTTCATCCCTATCAGATGGGAATAACAACAAGTTACCTATATAGAAACCAGTAAGCTTTTTCTTACAGAGTTCCCAAGCACTTGTGAGAACGTCTGTACAACATGAAGCTACTGCATCACCCTGAACACAACTCATCCTCACACAACAGCTCCAGTTTGCATTTACTCATGCCACAAAAATTGCACCTGAGTGAAAACTTACAGGAGCAGCGACACAGGACACAGCAGCTACTTCTGTGTGGCAAGAGCTGTGCTGAGGGTTTGACTAGGCTTTAACTGGAGAAGGAGCTTGCTCTGCAGGAGAAAAGAAAGCTTCTAAGTACTCACGGAGGACTTCAACCTTTCACATCCACCCCCCAGGCGACTATGGCAGGCCAGAGGGGAGTTTCCTCTGCTTTTTTTTTTTTTTTAAATGCTGGAGCCAAGTCACCAGTAAGACAAGTTATTTTTTCTATGCACCCCTCCACTCCATCTGAAGCCTTCATTGAGCTTCTGTAGCACAGACAAGCCTTTGGGAACTAGCCTTTCCTGGAAAATGAAGTCAATGCATGAAGTCAGCTGTTAGCCTTGCAAAGGTGCTGTCTTAGATAAGGGCTTTTTCACAGCTACTTAACTCTCCTGTCTTAAAGAGCTAAGTTTTAAGGCATTTGGGGCATTTTCAGCTCTTAGTAGCTGGGTAAATGGTACATGGAAGCAAGATTAATTTTTATTAGCTTGAAGTATCATATTTTATTCAAGTGATAAGAAATATAATACATTATGCATCTGCCAGTTATTGTCCATTTTAGTTGGTTCCAAAACCTAAGCAGTAAATAAGTAACAGTTTATCTAGTTAAACTGAAAAAAACAGCATTTCACACAACCAGTACTGGAGATGTCAACCGCATAGTAATTCCAGCATTATGTTATGGCTTTCCAAAAAGTCATGAAGTTAACAAATTAGAACACATCAAGAGCCATTTTTCAAAGATTTATTGAAGTAGCGACAGGTTGCTCATACTGTGCTGGAAAAAGCAGTTTTATTGAATTCGGATACTTAAAAACAGTATTGCAGCACAAGATATTGCTATCTGTAAACTAGACTCCATTGTAAACTCTAATCCTTCAGGGAGAGTCAGTTTGCAAGATCTAAGACCTATTTCCTAGCATAATAATCTTGCGCTCATGGAAAAACTGCAGAAAGGCACTTGAAAGCTGTTTCTTCCTTTAAGACATGGACTGTTTAAATCTTGCTGGTAAGAATTTCTCCTGCATTAAGAAGTATGCATCTTCACTTCAGCTTTACTCCAAGTCATCGTGATGCTGGGAAGTTTCATTAATAACCTGTTGAAAAAATAGATACTTGCATCAAGTTTTATAGTAAGGCTGGTTTTTTTTTTTTAGAATTAGAACTGGAACATCCAGTACCACAGAGATGTGAACAAATGGGTATCAACTCTCACATGTTAAGTGAGAAGTTCTAGCTGATAAATGGTATGGAGAAATCATTTAAGCTTTACTGACCTAGTCTGAAAACAGTATCTCATCCCAAACAAGTACCTCTGCTTACTGCTATTTATTTGTCTTGGTTGACATGAGAAATCTTTTGAGACCTTCCTAACTCAGCTGAACTTAAATACTCACTACACAGGTAACTTTCAGCCATTTATGGTTGTGCTAGCAGGTGAATTTTGTGATCATTTCCACAGAAGCCTGTGGAAACATCTGAACATCTGAATGTTCCACCATGCAGTGTGAATTGCCAGATGGTGTTCTACTCAATCCCTGCTGCAGTATATATGGGGTGCTCTGACTGGCAGACAAACCTACCAGCATTTTAAGGTAAACAGCTGTGATAGAAATAAAAATCAAGATTACCACCAACCTGTCCATCTCTAGTTTCGACAGTCTTAATTAGAAGTGTCCTCTTTGAGTGAGTGTCAACCATTGGCTGAGACTCAATGTTGGTTTCTGCAGAAGAAAATGTATTATTACCAGTTGTCTAGATGAAGTGCCTCCTCAAAGAAATAATGTGTAACAGATTTTAGTGTCTACTTTTAGAATCCCAATTTAGTGCATGAAGAAATATCTCCTGCTCTGAACAACAAGCTAATCATCTCCATTTTCTCCCTATTGCCCTTAAAGCACCTTCAGCTGGCATCTAAACCAACCGCTCACTAGGTACTGATATTTCAAAATATCTGTTCCTAGGAACAAAGCAGCTCCTCCCACCCAAGGTTAAGGAATTGCAAATACTGTCCTCGTAGCTTAGAAAAGCAGGCACACACAACTGCATTTATACAAGTTCAAATGCTAGAGTAAAAGGAACCACCCAGGACCCTTTCGCTAATGGTAGAACAGCTGGCCAGACTCAAGTAGCAGAAATGCCTTACCTCTCAGGTTCAAAGAGGCAAAGGTTGGAATAGGCATGTTAATCCTGAAGGAAAAAAAAGAAATGGATAGTCAGACATGGGTACAGAGTGTCTTCTAGTAATTGGTGTTTAGAGAAGTGTCGGCATATGATTTTTTACCTGCTCTCTTCACCCTCCAGCAGTTTTCTGTAGGTGGCAATCTCGATATCAAGAGCCATCTTTACATTCAGCAGGTCCTGGTACTCACGGAGATGGCGAGCCATTTCTTCCTTCATGTTCTGAATCTCATCCTGCAGGCGGCCAATAGTGTCTTGGTAGTTAGCAGCTTCAACAGCAAAATTCTCCTCCATTTCATGCATTTGGCGCTCCAGGGATTCATTCTGGAAGAAGACAATGAAATCAAGCACTGCTGCAGTTCAGCCACTCTTTCCCATCCTCAAGACATTCAGAAGTTTTAAAAAAGGGGAAGTTAAGTTACTTTAGCATCCTTTCTGAAAGCCCCCCGGACATGATGTCCCAAATTTGTCATCTCCGTATCTTCCCCTTGCAAAGTCAAGGTGGGTTATTCCACTACTTTATCTGAGGTGTGCTACATATTTCTTCTACCAGGTTGGCAAAGCAATCCCCTACAGTAAGTCCACCACATGCAACACAAAGCACGCAGGCAGTCCTCACTGAGGGGATTTGCAGGTGTTTTACTATGTTAAATCCACTTCAAGCCAGACTTTAATGTAGTCAGGTTCTAGCAACAGCACGATTTGCACCTCTTTTCCACTGCTCCTCCAGCTTTTTGTACAGCTTCAGCTGTACCTGACAGACAAGCCATGGAAGTGTTACATGAACCTCCAGGAAGTGTGACATGAACAGTGAGCAAGGGAATGAACTCATTGTTTATACCTTAAGTACATCAATCTACCCAGCTCCCTGGAGCTCGTGCAGGCAAAGTGAACCCATAGCATCCTTTCTAAAAAGTACCAATGTCCTACTTTATGGCACAGGAGATCACCTGCATTCACATCCACGTCACCAGTTAACCTGCAGTGCCATGCCTAAAGCTGGGAAGGGAAGAATGTCCCAACTGCTGTCTTCTACTTACGCTTCCCTTGAGGGCATCCACTTCGCAGGTGAGGGACTGGATCTGCCTGCGGTATTCGTTGGCCTCTTGTTTGGCCTGGCGCAGGGCATCGTTGTTCCTATTAGCAGCTTCAGAGAGATCTGCAAACTGGGGAAATCCCCAATTTGGTTAGCGCAACGCTTCAACAGAAATGGTATAACAGACTTTTTTTTTTTTAAACACAGCTTTTGAGGGCAACTGAAGCCATTACAAGCCCTAACACTTTAATATTAGCATTACTCCTAAAACGACTTTCTATTTTTAATTGTTAAATTGGAATTTATAGTTAAACCTTTTCGTTTCTCCACCCTGTGTGTTTTCCATCTTTTCATCACCTTTTTCCCCAATCATTCACTCTTTTTCTCCAGTATTTCATCCAACATCTGCTTCCAGCTACAGGGGTAGGAAAGATCCCAAGTAGGAACCCATTACTTTGATGCTGCCCTTACAGTGCAAAGTAATCATAGAATCATAGAATGGTTTGGGTTGGAAGGGACCTTAAAGATCATCTAGTTCCAACCCCCCTGCCATGGGCAGGGACACCTCCCACTAGACCAGGTTGCTCAAATAGCCATCCA